GTGAATTTTCTAAAGGTGCTATTTAACATGAGGGGAGCAGGTGCCTCGGCTCCAGCTCTCCACCCTCTCTCCACTGCCGCTGGCTTCTCAGGCCTTGGGCTCAAGTGATCCTCCTGCTTCAGCCTCCTTAGCAGTTAGGATCACAGGCACCCACCACATCTTTTCCTTTTTTTTTTTTTTTTTTTTGTGGATGGGGACTCGTGAATTTTCTAAAGGTGCTATTTAACATGAGGGGAGCAGGTGCCTCGGCTCCAGCTCTCCACCCTCTCTCCACTGCCGCTGGCTTCTCAGGCCTCTGCTCTCCCCACCTCTCTCTCCTCTGAAACCCTCTCCTCTTGCAGCTGCATCCCACCCTCCCCGCCTCGCTCCTGGTCTGTCCTGTGTCCTCTCTCGCCACTGGGTTTCAGAAACAACTTCCCAAAGCACAAAGCAATTTTTCCCCCTAAGGGTGGGAGGAAGCAAGAGACTCTGTACCTATTTTGTATGTGTATAATAATTTGAGATGTTTTTAATTATTTTGATTGCTGGAATAAAGCATGTGGAAATGACCCAAATATATCTGCGGTGGTCTCCTAATTTCCTTCCTTGGAGGCTGGGGAGGGAGAGGCATGGGGAAGGGGGCTCGGGGGTGGGTGGGCTTGCCCTCCATTTCCTCCCCCTTCTCTTCTGATCCCCCAGTAGCCCCCTCTTCCTCTTGCCTTCTTTACGTCATAAACTTTTTTCTTTCCTCTTTTATTTTTCGGTCTCTTGCAAGTGTCCTTGCATGTCTTCCAAATCCTCTTCTCCCCTGCAGTGCCACACAGGCAACCCACGTGTGCGGCGACATACACACACGCATGCGCACACGCCCTTCCCTTCGGATCCTGGGTTGCCCAACCCTCACACCCACTCTCCCCTCAACTCCCCACTGCCATGGGCACCCAGCAGGACTGGGGATGGTGGGAGGCACTGCACAAGGGCACCAGGAACCTCAGGGTGCTGGGAGGGTGAGGGACATAGACCTGGTGAGGAGGACAAGGCCCCTCCCTGGACAAAGGCCATGTGGTCTCTGCTCCCTCCTTACCTTTATGGCACTTCTGCCAAGGGAACAACAGGTGTACAGCCTGAGGCAGGGTCTGGACAAAGGCCATGTGGCTCTGCTCCCTCTTACCTTTATGGAGCTCCTGCCAAGGGAGCAACAGGTGTACAGCCTGAGGCAGGGTCTGCTGAGCTGTCCGGGGAGTGATTGGGGGTTTGGGGAGAGCTGGGGTTCAGGTAGTCACAGGGTGCTTTCAGGAAGGACGGAGGCCTCCCCTGCTTGGTATAACCTGAGGCCTTCCATCCAGGGCCCATCCTGGGCTCCCCCTAGGCCACCTCTCCTTCTGAGACCCCTGGGAGAGGTAGCCTGGGGAGAGCCCAGCCCCTCCTTTTTTCTCAAACTCTTGCTTCTTTCTCCTCCTTCTCCCTCCTGTCCCTTTTCCTTCTCCCTCTGCCTGCCTGAGAACTTGAGGCCCCCAAAGGGAAGGTGGCCAGTTGGTTCTCCAATCTCAGGGAATGAGGACAGTGGTGTGGGGGCGGGGGAGGTGCAGAGACTCCAGGGCACCAGAAGTCTGGAGCAAACCTGCCACGCAGAGACTGGAAGACAGGTCACCCTTCGCACCCAGGGTCTCAGGGCCTAAACCTTGAAGGAAGACCCTGTTCTTCCCTGAAGTGTGCAGAGAGAGGCACAGGTCTGCATATGCCATCCATCAGCAGTGCTAACACCATGGCTTCATGAAGTATTCATGGCTATTCATTATGGCCTTTAATAATTCATCATTAGCACTTCTACCACACTTAGGATGCTGTGGAAGGGGAATTTGTCTAGAGGAGAAGAAATTATGGCATATAAATGAAAGCTTATTCATACGAAAATTACCCAAAGTTGTGTGGTGCTCACTGCTCTGTGGATTAATGCATTGCATATCTGGTGATGTCTGCCTGCCTGACACAGTGCAGGTAACCCCCATCTACCTGGGCCCCTGGGAGGGGACCCTTGTTGTTCAGATCCCATCCTCTCCTGCCCTCCCGGGGAAACTAGAAACATGCTGAGCCACCCTAGGCACTACCCAGCCCCTGCCCACCTATCTGGGCTCACTGTCCCCTCCCTTCCTTTATCTGTCACACCAAACAAAGAGGGTGACTATAATTTCCATGTAGATACCACATTTCCCCTCTTCCAGGCCTTGCTGCTGCCCCATCCCATGCCTGAAGTGGTGTCCCTTCTCTGTTTGCTCAGTGCTCAAATGTCTCACCGTCCCCCATTGCCCTGGTGAACCCAGGCTGCTCTCAGCCCCTCTGAGTTTCTGCAAAGATGACCTCAGCCCTCCATCCATGACAGTTATCATAAAGAGCAAGTGGGCTAGGTTGTCCCTCAGGTGAGAGTGTGGTGCTGTGTGCACTTTGGGCACAGGGGTGAGCGAGTGTTTGAGGAAGGCCAGGTGAAAACCAGCCCTCCCAGGGAGCCAGAGGTGTTGCAGGGCTCAGCCCAAGGCTTTGTGCAGCTGGGAAGGTGCCTGGCAGGTGGGCTGTCCTGCGCAGTGGTCAGCAGCCAAGTGCAGCTACTGAGCACTTGAAATGAGGCTAGTGTGACTGAGGAGTTTGATGTCTACGTTTACTAGCTCCATGTGGGATGGTGGCCGCTGTACTGGACAGCACAGTGGTAGGCGCAGCAGTGAGTCTGCCTCCCACCACGTATGTGCGGATCTACGTGTGTGTGTGTGTGTGTGTGTGTGTGTGCGCGTGGGCACCTGCCCCAGGGTCAGGGCGGTGGAGTGGCAGCCTGTGCGCCCGTGTCCTGTGTGCAGCTCCACATCTGTACCACGTGGTGTGAGACAGCAAGTGGTTTCAGTGTCTGTGTGGGACAGGAGTGAAGGGGGACAAAGGGTCCATTGTGCCACATTCCCAGCTCAAGCCCTCCTTCTCGATGACATCACAGCTGCCCTAAATACAGCCGCCCAGACCCACTCCCGGAGACCCTCGCTGCCCCGTGCAGTGGCACAGAGCCTGCGGCTCCCGGCGCTGCTGCTCTTCTGCACTCAATTTTGTTTTCTCTGTGAGAAGGGCCACGCTTCTGTGGCTGATTTTTCAGTGAAATCCAAATGAAAAATTCTGGAAAGAGAGGAGGTTTCATCTGGATATTTTGTTTTTGGTGCTGTCTCAGAATCGTGGGTCCCTATTGGGGCTCGAGCCCAGCTCCTAGCAGGATTTTCTACAGCTGGAATATGGGGGGTTTCCCTCCCTTTTTTCGCCCCCAGCTTTCCCGGTGCCTCCAAGGCTGGCCTCAAGGGACAGAGCTGGGTGGGGCTGAGGCCAGAGGGGTTGGGAGAAGGCTTTCTAGCTGGGGACGCTCAATGTGTGGCCGGCCGAGGGGCTGTGTGTGGGACAGGTGTGAGCGTGGGGCCACGTGGCAGACAGGGTGGCTGCTCTCGAGGCTACTGCCCATGTGAGGAAGCCTGAACGATGAGGAAGTAAGGTGAGTGCCGTGAGTGGTCTCCATGTGAGGCTCGTGGGGGTGCCTGTGTGGCGGAGAACGTGCCCCCACCCGTGAGCAAATGTGTTTGTTGGTGTGCCTGTGTGTGTTGGGGGCAGCTTCCCCACACGTGCACTGCACTGGAAATGACACTGTGAACTGTGAGAACTCATAGATCACGGCATCTGGGACACATGTGGCACAAGCATGACAGAGGGCATAGGGGGATCTGTCTGCGTGAATGAAGATGAATGGGTATGGAAGTCCCCCATCCAGCTGGAGCCCTGGTGCTGGGGAGGGGCTATGTCTCCCTGTCCCTTTCCTCTGCATGTGCTCTAGAGGGTTCCAAGTCAGGAGGGTATGTCTGTGGACTGGGAGGCAAGACCCTGGAAGAAGGAGGGTTTTTGTCCAGGAGAGTGACGGGTCCTTCCATACTTGGAGATTTCGACATGTGGCCAAGTATATGCAAGGTGAGGCCAAGAGGGAAGCAAGTTTTGGTGAGTTTTGGTGATGCTAGAGAAAGGGGCGTTTTCTCTGTTAAAGACAATGGGAAGAATTAGGAAAGGGGTGCTAATGAAAAGGGACAGAGGATAGAGGAAGCAGTGGCTGAGCACCATGGTGAGGACCAAAGCATGTTTTGGAACAAGGAGCCCACATGTTCAAGTTCTAGGTGAACTCACTACTGTGGGGCACAGTCTGCTCGCTCCCCAGGGCTTCACCGCTGTGTGCAGAGGCCTGTGTGTACAGGTGTCCTGCAAAAAAGCAAGGGAAGGGGCTGTGTGCGTGAGTCAGTCTGAGATGGAGAGAAGGAAGAGCTATGAACATAGAAAGAGAACCACATATGTATTTTTCATTTATTTAAAAAAATAAAAAGAAGGGTGGCGCCTGTGGTTCGGTGAGTAGGGCACTGGCCCCATATACTGAGGGTGGTGGGTTTGAACCCATCCCTGGCCAGACTGCAACAAAAAAATAGCCGGGCATTGTGGTGGGTGCCTGTAGTCCCAGCTACTCGGGAGGCTGAGGCAAGAGAATCACCTAAGCCCAAGAGCTGGAGGTTGCTGTGAGCTGTGA